AATGATGGAATAATTAGATATATTTTTAACAAAAAAATTTAAAATTCAAAATAATAAAAATTAAACATTTTTTCTGATGATGGAGCCTCTTCAAGGAAACAAATGGGATCCTTGAATACTCTTAAAGTGAGAAAATATTTTCTAAGAATTCTACCAGATTAGTGGAGAGTCTTATAAATTATTTTCAATATTCAACATAAAAATTTGAAACAATTAAAATCAAGACCTTAGGATAAATTTAAAATAATATGGTACCATCCTTTGGATAAGCATATGGGGGTGCTAATCTTTCTCTACATATAACCGAACTTCCAAATCTTATTCTGGTTAGTAGACTCGAAACTATTCTTTTAGGGACTCTTAGTCAACCGTAAGAGCTCCTTAAGATGATAGATTCATTAGGTGACCAATCACATCTAGTTAAAAAATGTTGGTAACAATTTCTCTATTTGTCAAGTCTAGTTGTAGATTTTCATATCTATATATTATGACACATCTTTCAACATTTGATAGAAGGCAAAGAAACAAAATTAGAGGATGCAAACGGAGAATGGATTATGAACAACACTAGGGTCAAGAAAATTGTTATGGAGCACTTCACATCCTTCTTCACAATCTCCGAGGTGATGGAGTCTCAGGGAATTGACCTATAAGGCCTTAAATGGTTTCTCTCAATGAAGATGAAATCGGCCAACTCCAACTACCACTCCAAGACAAAGATATCCGCAGGGCTCTATGGAGTCTTAAACCTTTCGAAGCTTTGGGTCCAAACGGTTTTCACCCAGGCTTTTACCAACATTGTTGGGACAAAGTCAAAGGCAAAATTTGTGAGACCATTCGGGAAGTTTTTGTAAGTGGAAGGCTTCAAGAGGCTATGAATGACATGCTTATCTCCCTCATTCCAAAACGCCAATCTCTTTATTTAATTAGTCAATATCGCCCTATAAGCTTGCTTAATACCACTTACAAAATTGTCTCTAAGATTTTGGTGCAAAGGTTACGCCCTTTCTTGAACAAACTCATATCACCACTCCAAGGAAGTTTCATTCTGGGGAGACAAGCTTTTGACAGTGTGGTTATTGTTCAAGAAGTTCTTCATTCCATGAAAAGGAAGAAAGGAAAGCATGGGACTATGGTGATCAAACTCGACCTAGAAAAGGTGTATGATCGCCTTGAATGGGGCTGCATCAGAAAATTCCTCTACTTCTCCTCCGAAATGGATTCATTTAATCATGAATTGCATCATATCCTCCTATCTCGCAGTGATCATTAATGGAGAAAGGATGGAAAGGTTTCAAACTTCAAAGGGCATTCGATAAATTGATCCTCTCTCCCCGTATATATTCATATTATGCGTAGAGTACCTTAACGCTTTGATTCTGGATGCTTGCGAGACTAGAACGTGGTTCCCAGTTAAGGTCTCTAGGAAAAGTCTACGTCTCTTACACCTACTCTTTGCAGATGATGTTGTTTTGTTCTCAAGAACCAACAAAAAATCTGTCATCACCATTAGCAAGATCTTGGATAGATTCATGGAAGAATTAGGCCATAAGGTGAACTTGGAAAAATCCAGAATTGGTTTTTCCGGGAACACCAAGAGATATTAGCAAGATTGGATAACCAAATTTTTTAATATAATAAGTACTGATGAACTTGGAAAATATCTTGGTTTCCCTATGCATAGCAGAAACGTAAGAAATTAAGATTTTGATTTTATCATTGAAATAGTTAATTCCAAACTCGTAGGCTGGACAGCTAGTCTCTTATTCCCCCGCTGGTAGAATGGTTTTGATCCAGTCTACTATGGAAGCTCTCCCAACTTACTACATGCAATGCATGGCCCTCCCTGCTTCGTCATGCTCTGAATTGGATAAAATCAATAGAAGATTTTTATGGGAAGGAGGAAGTAACAGGAAGAAACTTCATAGACTTAAGTGGACTGAAGTGACTAAAGCAAAGGAAGAAGATGGCCTCGATCTTAAATTGAGCTGAGCCATAAACCAAGAATTACTATCCAAACAATGTTGGAGGATGCTACATAACCAGAGTGAGCCGTGGGTTAGGGTGCTAAAGGAAAAATATCTTCTCAACAATGATAATAGGGGTAAGGTCTCGGATATGTCTGTCACTTAGAGATCTCTCAAAGGATGACATCACATTCTTGACAAGGGCATTAGATGGACAGTCCATGATGGTGCTAGCACGAGCTTCTGGGAGGAAAACTGGACAGGTCTTGGCAAGGTTAGGGCCTTGGTTATTGGTCCTCTGAAATGCGAAGATGAAAACATCATAGTTAAACAATTCAAGCAAAGGGTGGATTCTGGCAACCAACACCCTGTTGCCATTGATCTCCCCTTGGAAGTTTTGCAAGCCATCCAAAGTGTTCCTTTAGCCGTCTTGATGTTAGTAATGACTCCATGTGCTGGAATTATTCTAACTCTGGAGAAATCGATTTGAACAGTGCATATAAACATGCCCTCAACCATGACATGCAAGGTGGTGGAAAAGAAAGAGACATGTAGACCTGGATTTGGAAACAAAAAGCTCCCCCTAAGCTCAAATTCATTACATGGGAGTGTGCAAGAAAAGTCCTTCCCACCTGTGATTTCCTTTTAGCAGGGGATCGAATGTCCAGAATAGGTGCCCTTTGTGCAATGATCAAGATAAGACAATAATACACTTGTCTACTGAATGCCACATTATGAAAACCTGGAGGCCACCCTTAACTGCCCCGTCTGACCACTATCACCAGCATCGCTTCGTGGCATAAATGGCTCAAGGACAACATCATCGACAAAACATGGCTGGCTAATAAATGAGCCTCCTGGAGCACGGCTTTTGTTTTCATGTTGTCGAAAATTTGGAAAACTCGAAACAAGATCATTTTTGAAAGGAAACCTGTGAACTCCAGAGTGGCTGATAATGCTATCAACCATGGTACTGAATTTATTGCTTCGACGGGTCAAGTGAAAAGAGGACCTTTCCCTTCCACCATTGTTGTCCAGTGGAGACCACCATCCCAAGGTTGGCTTAAACACAACACCGATGTTCTTCAAAGGGCAATCCAGGCAAAGCGGGGGCAGAGGTTATCATAAGCAATCACGAAGGGAAATGGATCAAGGGGATGGCCAGATTTATTCCTAGAGCCACAAGTGTAGAAGCTGAATTATGGACCCTACGAGATGGCCTTGACCTGGCTAGGAAGGAAGGAATAACAAGGCTGGAAATAGAGTTGGATGCGATCGGAGTGATTAACTTGATTAACAACACTAGCATTTCCAATCGGCGTCAAATACTCTTATTTCTGATTGCAGGACTCTCTTCAGGAACTTTCAACAGATCAGGATAAAACATACTTACCGTGAAGGAAACCGGTGTGCTGGTGCATTGGCTGGATATGGCAGTGACGAAACTAATTTTACTTTATGCTCTGCGTCTAAAGACTCGTTTGTTGTTATGTTTAATGTTGTTCCTAGGTGTATTGCCGCTTTCATCTTAGCTGAGGCTTGTGGGGCCGTTATGTATCGGACTACGTGATTATCTACGCATGAATTTTCTTTCCGGATAAAAAAAAATTAACATGACAGACCCCATTGAAAAGGATATCGGTTTTTCCAAAGCGTTAAGAATGAAGGAAACAAATGGTTTTCAGTTTTCTAACCAACCTTACCTAAACTCAGGCAGGAAAAATTTTCCACCATTTTTCGATTTTTGCAATTAATTCAGAGACGGAAAATATTGCAAGTTTTTCTAACCTACCTTTCAATTCTTCCTGCAAGCTTCCCATTGCAAAAATAGTCTAATTGCAGCTTTTATAGAAATTAATTGGAGTTGCCTAAGCCATTTGAGTAACTACATGGAAATGAGGTTTCTGAATTTTCTGATTATTATCTACTGTTTCCTAGTTTTCTTTGAATTGTGAAATGCAAGTTGCGTAGGGCCAGAGGAATGCAGCTTTGTCACACAGAAAAATGGGGTGGAATAGCTTTTTTGTTTTTTTAACTTGCAAGCTATGTGCAAATGAACATGGTGGATTAAATCAATCTTTTTAAAAAATATATAATAATTTAGTTTAATAATCAAACTGAAATTGCAATTCTAATATTTTTGGCAGATATTGATTGTAATTAATTAGTTCTTTTTTCTTGTAGCTGATTGCATTTTAAGTCCAAAATCTAGTCAAAAGGTTTCAAAATTTATCTTATCCACTTTTTTTAAATTTTTTCTACACATGAATAATTTAAATAAATTAGAGAAGAAAATTAAATTACTCCGCCAAAAACAAAGCAAAAATCACACATTTAAGTACCAAAAATAACCTTATTCTATAGAGTTATCACTTATAATTGATTATATGCATACGACGTATCCCTAAATCAAAATAATAAGATTTAATTGTCAATAGTTACATTATTATTTTTATTTTACATGATTCTTAAAATATTTGATTGGGGGTATTGTTGCGACCTTAAATTAGTTGTTTTGTGAAAGGTGGTTAAGAGTTTTTAATTGCAATATATGTTGATATTCTACTTTCTAATAGTTATTTTTTGTTGATAAAAAAATTGAAATCTTTTTATTAAAAAGAAATGTGATTTTTTTTTATTATAATTGTAAGTTCAAATTTTGGATGTTTGCGTGACTTGATGCATCGTTCTTAGAATTCAAAAAATTTTGTTTATCTAATTTTAAGATTTGAAGATCATTTTTTATTTTATTCTATATTGTTTGAATGTTGTATTGCTTAATTTAGTTATTTAACATTTTTGGTTAATCCGAATTAGTTCATATTTGATCACGGATTGAACAAGCTAATTATCATATTTGAACCTACTTTGCCAGCTCTAGTCGTGGGTCAACTAATAAGCAACTTACAAACTTTTTTCATCATGCCATCGAATTCCATGGCTTGTGTCTGTTTTTGTGTGACATGTTGATTAACATCGTTTGTTCGTATTCTCTCAATTTTTTTCAATTGTTTTATAAAGCATAACCTACATTCAAAGGAAGCAATTCCCGCTAACTGAAGGCGAAATCGGCTTCTCTTTTTTCAAAACTCCCACTCCCACAATAACAACTTTTAAGTATTTTTGGTCTTTCATAGTACTTACATTACTCGCTATCTGGTTTATTTATGGTAAGGACGATAAAACTAAACCAGGCTTGAAAACCAGAAAATTGTTATGAATGCTAAATCCACTAAAAAGTATTCCATCTCCCTGATCCAAAATCCAAAAAAATCAAATATATTCACACCGATGCCTTCGCAAAATGACTCTTGCTACAAATGAAATTGAATTACAGTTCTTTGGAATCAAACGAATCACTATTAACTCATTATGTGCTAGTCCCAGCAGACTCAAAAAAGTGGTTCACTTGTTGGCAATATAGTCGGAACACTTGTTTCCTGGTTATCTGATATCACAGATGATATATCCACCTTATCTGCCAAAGTTGCATATGGTGCTAGTGTGTCACCGATAGATGTTGCCAGATTACTTTCTGTTGAAACAATCATATCTGGAATGCTCCCTAATGATGAATTAAGAGCTTTATCATCTGAAGTAGGTTCAGTTGCTTTAGATGTAGGTGGTGATGCACCTATTACTACGGCAACTGGTGCACCAGGAGGTGGTGCTCCTATCAGTGTGCCTAGTGTTGCGGTTGGTGCATCAGGAGGTGATGCTTCTATTGGTGTGCCTGGTGCTGCGACTGAAGCACTGGGCGGCACCTATTAGTGCTTCAGTTGGTCCACCAGGAGGTGGTGCTTCTAATGCCAATGTTTTGCCTGGTTGTTGCAGCAAAGTCTGTGTTGCAGGAGCAGGTTTTTTCTTAATGGTAATTGAAGCAGAAAGTGTTGCCATCCCAACAGGAAAGATTTCAATCGGTGGTTTCTTCCCTGCCTTTGACAAACTCTAAAGTTTGGGTTCCTTGAGAGAAGCCAAAAATGCAGTTATAGCATCTGTCTTTGCCGATGGTGTGGGCTCCACCTCTTCCTGTAACTCCGTTCCAAGCCTCAACCAAGTTCTTTAACGTTGGTCGCCCAGGAGCCTGAAACAAATTTTAGACTGGTCAGAAGGCAAAAATTATGCTTTGGATCAACAACAAATTGTCCACATGAACCAAGTCATACATGTGCGTGTAACATAGCCTCGGAAAGCATTCCAGTAACCTGCCATGCTTTCTCCATAAGAGCATTGTCTCCCAACACTACAGCTGAAAATGCTGCTTCACGTCCCAATCCAAACGAGATCAAGTTATTTACTAAACCTGGTAATCAAACACAATTTCTTTTACCAAACAATAACCAAATAAAAAACATCAAGTACAAAATTGTTAATTTTATCATGCAAAAATAATTTGATAAATTGAATATTCTCAATTAGGGGAGTAATCAATCGAGTTTGAGTCGATACAGTATCAAACTTAACTCAAGCTTGATTCGAAATTTGAGACTCAAAACTCGACTCAAACTTGATGAAGTTTTATTTTTTTAGCTCGAGATAGAAATCGAACTACTCAAACTCGCTTAATTAGACTCAATTAACATGTAAAAATAAGTTCGATTCTTATATTTGATAAAAACTCGATTATTTGTGCTTGAGTTCGAGTTCGAAATATTTTATTAATTAAAATAATAAAAATTATTTAAATATAAAAGCTCGATTAGGTTTACGAGCTTATCGAGTCAGGTATAATAATACTCAAACTCGACTTGATCGATGAGTCGAGCTACTCGAACTTAACTCGATAATAATCGAGCCGAATTTGAGGTTTATTCAAATCAAACCTGAGTAGCTTACAAATACTAATGTATCATTTGCACTTCTATTCTTAATGACAATGACTAGCAAGGCAATAATTCCTTTGCAGTAAATATGATTAAAAAAATCAAACAAAAAAATTAGTAAACTCATTTGAACTATTACCATATTTTCATTCATTAAACAACTTAAAAAACTACCGAAGACCTTTCTCATAAGAGAAAACTAATGGCAGTAAATGTTTCAATTTTTCCCTGTAGCATTATAGATCCAATTATAGAAAAAAAAAAAAAAAAAAAAAAAAAAAAAAAGGAAAGTTGTCTAAAGATATTATTTTTAATACTTAATGCAATTATCCATTAAAAATCTAGGACTAATCTAATACAACTAATTTAGGTTGCTTTTGGGACATATGATTAGTAAAAAGATAGGATACTAATCATCTTACCATATGTTTGTTATACACTTAAATAAAAGGATTAAATTATCGAAAGCATTAGATATCCTATGTCAATAGGATAACTTTATCTTTTGAAAAAGTAAAAGATTGTTTTTAATCTATAAGATCAGATAATTTATCAGAATTTTTAAATAATTTAAAAACCTAAAATTTAAATTATCAAATATTAGAAAATATTCTCCACTTTTCAAATTTTCTTCAAAATAAACAAGTAATTTGTAATTCAAACTTTGATATTTTTTTAACTATAAGCTATAAGCTTTTTAATAATTTTTAAATATAAAATAATACATAATTTTATTTAAATTTAAATTTAAATTTATTTATTATTTATTTGATGTATCTATTTGTTTATTATGATGTATTTCTTTAAGCCACAATTATTGAAGGAATTTATCAATTGATAAAGTATTTAGGCAACTTTTAATTAATTAATAGATGATCTCTAAAAAAATAATTGAGAAATTATATCATTTATGACTACATAAAAATTTAATTAATATATAAAGGATAATTTTGACCAATAAAAAATATTATCATATCTTAATCTTAATCTTAATCTTGCACATAACAAACATGATAAATGGTAAAATAATATTCTATCTTGTTCTTTATCTTTACACACCCCAAACTTAACATAAGAGGATATAATTTAATCTAATCATATTTATACTATTATATTATTCTATCCTATTACAATGTTGTATATCAAATATAGCCTTAATTTCAATTGATAGCTTTAATTTACTTCAACTAGAAAATTGCTTTACAATGAGGATACTAAGATAGATATTTTGGTATACAAGAAACCATTAGAAATAGCACCAATTAAATACAAAAATAAGGGTTGGTCAAAAAATGAAAAAAAAAAAAAAAAAGGAGACATAATTAAGATGGTTTGGACATGTGAGATGAAGGCCTGGAACAGAAAGTTTTAAATAATAAAAAAGGTTAACTGGAGTTAAGTACTTATGTAGCATAAAATTCTTAAAACCTTTTAGCAAGCATCAAACAGCTCAAATAACCAGTTTGAAAAAGAGGATATGAACATTGCAACTTACACTCAGGTGTGTCAACTCTCCATGATTAACAAGGCGAAGAGCAGTCCTCTTAACTCATGACCTCGTAAAGCTCCTTTCACTGAACCTGCAGTAGCTAACCTTTTAAGAGCTTCACAAGCAATGTCAGCCTGGGCGTAGCATCAGCTACATCAACAAGGTCCAAAAACTCCTTCACAAATTTTACTGTTCCTTGAACAGCCTCAACCAGATTTTCCTTTTTAGCTATCAAATTAAGGATATCATTCAAATCAAGCTTGGGATTATCCTATCCTATGTCCTTGCTGTTGCTCATTGTAAGAAGACATTGTAGAGCTCTTTTCAAATCATTACTTTTCATGGCTAAATCAAACTCCAACTTGTAAAACATAGAATAGCAATGTAATTGAAGAAACCATGGATCAGAATGCAATGCAAATAACATAGGACTCTTGCTGCAATCTAATTGGCATAAACACAAAAAACTGCATAATATACTTATAAAGAATGCTTTAATGTAAACCCCAACAGGCATATAGCACTTCCACCATCAACTTTCTTCCCTTACTTTCTTGAGCAAACAGTGGGATTCAATGATGGAGAAGAACTTATAAAAATGCAATTTTTCAAATTCATTTTTCATGATGCTACTTCTGTTGGCTAAAATAGACTTCAGAAATTGGAGATGATAAACTAAAAGAAAAGCACAATGGTAGGTTGATAACCCATAACTATTTTTCCTTGATTACGAATTGATTTTGCATATGATTGCATTCCACCATAAATTCAACATTAGAGTCAATTTTAATATCTACTAATGCAAAAATAAACGACAAAAAGAGAAAGCCACAGGTTCACGTTAATGTGGATGCAAATGATGATGGTGGATAATTGCTGTTGATTTATAGCCACTGTAGAGAAAAAGTAAAAGCAATGGCTTTTGAGAAAATTTTAATGAAAGCTATGGCAGATTATGATGAAAGTTCTGATTATAAAGGTTAGTCAAGGCCACAAATCAAGTACTTGATGAAAATTTTGGTTGCAAGTAGCACATGTATTATTGAAAATAGAAAAAGAAAGAAGGGAAAAAAAAAAGGGAAGGTGAAAGGAAGAAAAGAAAAAGACAAAGAAAAAAAGGAAATATATATGCACTTATTATATTTCAAACTCAATTGACACAACATTTTTTTTTATTAAGAATTTATGTTGCCAAAAAACAAGTGTTCCTTTTGTAAGACATACATTACTTCAAATTGAGATAACAACAACAATACAACATTAAACAAATATTATATATATATAAACATATATGTTTTTGGATAAATAAATATTATATAATATTTTATAACATTTGTTATATATTATTAATTATAATTCCATTAATTTTAAATAAAAATTGAGATAATATGCAATAAAAAGCTTTTCAAATTTGATAAATATCTTAAGAAAATATTTTATTTTCACAGTTTCTTCATGTAAATTTATTATTATACACATACAATTATTGAGTTTGCATACGTCTGAACTTAATCTAGCCCAATAGCTTTTAGGGTTAAAAATTGTAACTTGATAATTAACCTTTTAATAGTTTCCTACCAAAAGTCCATTTGATCCCGCCTAATATTATACTTTAGTGGCCTACTATAAATATCATTTTCTTCCTTCAACTCCCAGGATCCCATCATCTCCAACTAACTTTTCACCTCTAACTTGAGTGTCAACTACATAGATCAATATGACAATTTATTTTTTGAATTATTTTTCTGTATCCATGTGTATCCGACATGTTTCAAGCAATGTCAAACAAGTATGTGTTCAACACAAGTCCAATATAAATACATGTGTTAGACCCATGTGTGGACACCAAATTTGTCCGGGCTTGTGAATTGGATCTTGATTTAAAATTTGTTAAATGTATCGGGCTCCCAAGCCCAAAGCCTGATTTCATTTTAACTGAACCCAAGACCCGATTTTGATTGAGCCCAAGATCTAATTTCGTTTTTAATCCTAAAGCCGGTTTATCTTTTATTTTATTAATTTAATTTTTTAACTAAACAAAATACACAAAAAAATGAAAAAAAAACAAAGAAAAAAACAAGCAAAGTACTACAAATGAAGGAAAAAAACAAAAGGAGAGGGGGGCTGGTGCATGGTGCCGTGCACAGCACCACTGGCACTGCCCACCCACGCTAGGCAGATTAGACAATATAGAACGATAATGGGGCAGAGAGGGGGGTTGATGCTTGGGGTACCGTACACGGCACCCCCTTCTGCCAAACCCTCTACCAAGCCAGGCATAAGGCATGGCCAGAGCTCTATAAATAGAGCTTCGTGCCAGACTAAGGGAGAAGAGAGGAGATCCTGCAAAAAATAAAATAAAAAAAAGAAATTTCCAAAATAAAAAAATCTTCTTACTAAAAAAAAAAATCATTCAAATAAAAAATCACGGTCTCATAGAACGAGGAACCCAGTGCCAAAAGCTTTCTTGCAAAAAAAAAATCAGCTTACTTGTTCTAAAAAAAAAAAAAAAAAAGAGGTTTGACCGAACCTTTAAGGTTCGATCTAGGGCATTTTAGTGAGATTCAAGCAAAACTAGGCCCAGATCTGTGTTTAGGGAGTCAAGGAGAATTTTTAGGGATGATCCCTGAACGACAACCTTCGGTCGGTCATCGTTCGTTGCTTCGGTTGCCTCGGAGTCGGATTTTTTAGGGATGATCGCTGAACGACAACCGAAGCAACGAACGATGACCGATCGACCGGTCTAGAGAGAGAGGGTCTGAAAGTGTAGAGAAAGAGGGAGAAAAGAAAATGAGAGAAAAAAAATCTTGACTTTTATAGAAAGCTGAAAGCCAAAACGATGTTATTTCATTAAAGGGTCAAAACGACGTCGTTTTGAGCTGAAAGATCAGCACGTCAGCCCTTGACCCACCCCGGGGTCCGCGCACCTGACCCAACGACCCACTTCACATTTAGCTTCTAACCAATCCAACTGCGCCAGCAACGAACCGTTGAACCCAATCTAGACCAACCCCGTACCATTGAACTTGAGCTGAACCAGTTTCGAACCGCTGAACGAGACCAAATCGCCAAACCAACGTTGGCCAGACCATTGATTGATCCGGTTCAAGTAAAAAATTTTATTTTTTTATTTTTTTTAAATATTATTTTTGTTACTTTAAATTTTATTATTAATATTTATACATATTTAAAATTGCTATAAAATTGCTATAAAATTTTTTTGTTATTTTATAATATTGTTAAAATTTTTATAATTATGTTATTTTTTAAAAATAAACTTAATAATAATGCATAATTAAAAAAATGTATGAAAAAAAAATTTTTATCCGATGATGAGATTTAAAGATACTCTGAGTAGTGATACCTATGGAATCTCTAGGTGAGAAGATTTTTTTAAATACTACCAGTGTACTGAAGTATTTATAAAAAATTTTTAATACGATAAAAAAATTTTTTGTTATAAAATAATAAATAATAATAAATTAATAAATTAAGAATAAGTAATAAAAAATGAGAAAAAAAAATTTTATCTAATAATGGGATTCTAAAAGTATTTCGAGATGCTTTAAGAAATCTCTATGTGAAAAATTTTTTTTTAAATATTACTAATGTATTGAAATATTTATAGAAAATCTTCAATATAATAAAAAATTTCTCTTTTTTTTTCATTTTTTAAAATAAAAATAATAATAATAATTAATAAAATTTTCAAATAAAAATAAAATGTGTGCATTAACGTATTATCATTTGCATTGCATGCACGGCATAAAATATTTTACGAAAAATAAATTTAAACCTCCGAAAATGAGATTCTAAGATATTCCGAGAAGTAATGCCTAAGAAATCTACAGGTGAGAAAAAGTTCTTTCAATGTTACTAACGAATTGAAACATTTTAAGAATTATTTCAATAAAAAAATTTTAATTTATTTTTCTTGAATAAAATTTGAGCATCAATAAGAAAAATAATTTCCAATAAATAAAAAAATCAAGAAAATTATTTTTTTCAACACAAAAATGAGACTATTTTTTATCAAAAAGATAATACGTAGTTAATTGGTACCATTTTAAACGGGCGCTGTGGGGGTGCTAATCCTTCCCCATATGTAATCGACTCTCGAATCCAAACTGTTTCACAAAACATAAAATTATCATTTTAATAAATTTTAATTGATTTTAAAATCTTATTAGAATGATAAATTTTAATAGGTGACCAATCGCACCTAGCCAAAAAAGATTGGTGGCGACTCCGTTTTTCATTCTTTTTTTTTCGTTTTCAAATTCGTCGGACAAACACAAAACCGTTACGACAGCTTGACGACTCCACTAGGAAAACCATTTATTTTCAAGAGTCAAGCCAAAATTAACTACGTATTATTCTTAAATTTTGATTTAAACAGTTATAATCGGTTTCTTAGATTTTTATTTTTCATTTTCAATAAGAAAAAAAGTCATAAAAAAAAAAACAAATCGAAAACAAAAAGAAAAAAATTCACACATGTTTCTTTTACTATACCTCTTATGCTTGATTTTTCTGTATATATTACTCTTGATAAATTAGGAAATATATACACATACAATGACACAATGCATCTCATGCATGAGTTCTATACCCGGGCTCCGTCTTTTATAAGAGGAAGTACTTATGCATTCGTGAGGTGATAACCTCCGCAATGACAAGCGAAATACTTTCACTCAAATTGAATCCTTTCTATTCGTAGCCTGTAATGGGTAAGTATCGGGGTGCCTTACTAATCCAACATGAACAACAGTAAAAAATAATTTGAAAACCTTTAGATGCATGTCAACCTAAACCAAGCATGTAATAAACTTAGGAAGCTAACCTTAGGTAAACCTTGCCCACCCTCTTGTAAAGAATACCTAAGTCCAAAATGTATAAGAATAAAAGTTGTGTATAATATAAAAACAAAACAAAACAAAAAAAAATCTCAAAACTTTTTTATCTCAAACCACTTTCTCACATTAACTCAATTTCGTTTTGTTTTTCTTTTTAAATTAATCATATCATACAATTCTGCATAAAGGTATTTGCTTTAAGATATGTTTCTCCCGAGAAGTTTTCATGGATCCCATAGAACTATAGACTTGCTTAAATCTCTGAAGAATTTTTAGTGTTGAAATTTGTCCAAAGGTAAATATCTCCCACTTGCATTCATGCATCATGTGCATAATTTTTATTTTTTAAAAAAAAAATGCAAAATAAAATTTTCACCACATGGCATTTTAATTTTAAAAGAAATTTGGTGATGAAGGTTCAAGAATAGCTCGTCCACCAAAATTTTTTGACTTAACCTACTTGCCATTCATACAATACCAGAGCTTAAACAAGAATCATGGAACAATAATAAGTCAATCGATTTGAAAGGATTGAGAAGGCTCAAAAAGGACTAAAAAAAGATCTTAATAGGATAATGGATATGCTCAATAATCTGGATAAAAGAAAAGCAGTGGAAAGAAATCCTAGCCTTCAAGAACAATTGTCAGACATGGTGGATCTTACATATCCTTCAGGGTTTGAACCACGGCCAACTCAACATTCTTAAGAAGTCAAAATTCAAATTCCTACCCCCGGAGGATATGCCAATCCTTATCCAAAGATGACGTCCACACCTGTTCCAAGATAATTTCAAAATTTTACTAATCCTATCATGGTAGAAAAACCATCTGAGCCAATCCTGATTCCAAACTTGGATGATTCCAAAGAGAGAGAAAAGCTAAAGATAGAGACATCTAAGAAAGTAAAAGATACCAATGCTCAACAAAAGATGAAATTATTAGAAGAAAGACCTAGGGCCATAGAGGGAATAAATTTTTATGGCTCCACAGATGCAACTGAACTTTGTTTGGTTCTAAATGTGGTCATTCCACCCAAATTCAAGGTCCCTGAGTTTGAAAAATATGATGGCACAAAATATCCAATGACTTATGTCATCATGTATTATCGCAAGATGACGGCACATGCTCATGACGAAAAGTTGTTAATGCATGTATTT